ATTTTTAGATCGATAATGTCTGATCCATAGTCAATCCCTACAACGCGGGTTATCGCGATTTAATGGATTCGAACTCCGATGAAGAAGACGGAGTCAAGTGAACTTATCCACTTGACTAAAGACACATCTCCTATTAAATAACATTTTATTATTAAATTTAATTGAAAAAAATGATGGTATGAAAAAATATAGATAGCAGTAAAAATAGTTGATAAACTATAGATTGAACTATTTAAATAACTTGAAACTATTTAACATTACCGTTTCCTTATCAATTCAAAATGATATATAGTGGTACAAAGCGTGAGGAGAATCGTTTCTTGGTTGTAACAGATTGAGGAAATTTTAGTTCTTTTGCTCTGATTTCTGTAGCTACTCAATCTCTGTATGTTTTTTTTTGTTAAAGCTCAATCTCTGTATGTTTATAAACATTGATCTGAGCTTCGTGAGAGACTAATGATGAACTTGAGAAATATTTTTAGACTTATATAATCTTCTTCTTCTTTTTTTCTTTTTGGATCAAATAACTTGTAATCTATATGTAATATGATAGTTGGAATCTGCATGTTGGAAAACATTTGCCAAGATGTAGATGCCTGGATTTGGCACCGAACTTAAACTATATATCGTGCATTCTTCTTCTTCTTCACTCTTTCGATTTGTTTTTTTTTGTTAAAACCGAAAATTACCAACTTAGCGGCGAATCTATTTAGATTCTATTTTCGACACTACTAAACTTACTAAAAATTTAAAGAGAAGAAAAGAGAAGAGAAGGAGACTTTTTGGAGAATAGACTGATTGTGATTTCTCAACACTAAGCATATAAAACCTCACCTATATAATCGGTAAATACTAAAGACTCGTAATTGCAGTGCCAACCCTTTGATTAGTATTGCCACGTAAGTGAAGAGAAGGGCTGACTTTTTGAACAAGCAACGGAAAATGAGTTAATGCTCTTCGCTGTCTCTATTGACTCTGTTCCCTTAAATCAAAGGCTTATTTTTTTGGTTCAGCAGCCACGTTAGAGGATTTTTTTAAAATTCTCTGTCAGTACAAATTTATGTGTTGCGGTTATCTTCATAGGCATTTTAAACCGGTTTTAGGGGTCAAATTTAAAATAAAATTAAGGTTTTCATATTTTAATATGATAAAAGACAAAAATAAATTAAATTCTTCAAAATAAAGATAAAATTGACATTCATGCGCTAGTGCTCGTTTTGGTTTTAATTAAATATGTGCATGTCTTTACTTCATTGCATATAGATCCAAAGAACGACCCATAAGACTTCGACATTTGTCTTTCTCCTCAACATCCAAAGCTTTTAGTGAAACCTCTCCTATAACAAGCCAAAAAAAAAAAAAAAAAGCTAAAGAGAAAGATTCAAAGAAAGAAAGAAAGAAATTGAGGAAGATTATTTCAAATCCAAAGTGAGATTTTGAGAAGACCCTCTATGCAAGAATCCAATCTTAGAGTCTTACTAGTTACTATCTAGCTTACACGCACAGAGACACTACTAAAAATCCAATCTTAAAGAGTCTTACTAGTTACTATATAGCTTACACACACACAAAGTTCTATTTCGGCGATAAAGGGTGCAGTGTGCGTGTGGATATGGTTAGACCACCTTGTTGCGAGAAGATTGAGGTGAAGAAAGGACCATGGACTCCCGAAGAAGACATAATCTTGGTCTCTTATATCCAACAACACGGCCCTGGAAACTGGAGATCTGTTCCTGCAAACACTGGTATGTATCTTCACAGTGTAAATTTGATTGAATTTGAGGAAATATTTGGTTAAAATTAGTGTTTGACCCCTATAAATTTTTGTTCTAACTTCCAAATAACCCTTTTAATTCATATAATTTTTCAATTTATTGTTCATCATAATTTTTTATTATTATTTTGATTCCTATAAAACTCGTTTCTAGATCCGCCACTGTATCTTCATTCACTCTCCTTCTTTCTTCTTCGTCTTAACTATAAAAATTTTCTTATTAGCTTCCACATATATATATATATATATATAAACATATAAATACTTTTATATATGTATATATTTTCAGGTTTGCTAAGGTGTAGCAAGAGTTGCAGACTTCGATGGACTAATTACCTTCGTCCCGGGATCAAACGAGGAAATTTCACTCAACCGGAAGAGAAGATGATCATCCACCTTCAAGCTCTTTTGGGTAACAGGTATTTGAAATTACTCCTTAAATTCTCCTAAAATTATACATATACGTAACGTGAATCAAGCTAATCACTCCAATTCTATGTTTGTCCATCTTCCGTAATCTCCTAACATTATAAATATACGAGGCGGTTTAGAGTATCGGATATTTTCCTACTATGATAAGGACCAGGGATCTATTTGCTTTAGCAAAATAAGATATATAGTATTAACATTTCATTTTATTATAATTAGTGTTTTAATTTGTGTCTTTTTATAGATGTGATGGGATATCGTCTTTGAAAATCAGATGGGCAGCTATAGCATCATATCTACCTCAGAGGACCGACAATGATATCAAGAACTATTGGAACACTCATCTTAAAAAGAAACTCTTGACGATGAAGCTTCAAAACGGTATCATCAACGGAGACAAAACCAATATGGCGACAGAGATTTCGTCTTGTAATAATAACAACAATGGATGTAATCACAACAAAAGGATCGTCAACAAAGGCCAATGGGAGAAAAAGCTTCAAACAGATATCAACATGGCCAAACAAGCGTTATTCCAAGCCTTGTCACTTGACCAACCATCTTCATTGATCCCTCCCGATCCTGACTCACCAAATCGTCATCATCATTCTACCACCACTTATGCCTCAAGCACAGATAACATCTCTAAATTACTCCAGAACTGGACAAGCTCATCAACTTCAAGGCCTAACACTTCATCAGTCTCCAAAACCCGTAGCTCAAGCCCCGGTGAAAGAGGAGTTTTTGACCATCACTCTTTGTTCTCATCGAACTCAGAGTCTGGATCAGTTGATGAGAAGCTGAATTTGATGTCGGAGACAAGCATGTTCAAAGGTGATCAGAGCAAGCCAAACATAGACATGGAAGCTACTACTACTACTACTACTACTACTGATGATCAAGGCTCGTTGTCTTTGATCGAGAAATGGTTGTTTGACGATCAAGGCTTGGCTCAGTGTGATGATAATCAAGAAGATCTCATCGACGTATCTTTAGAGGGGTAATAATAATGATTACAACAGTCAAGATTTGTTCTAAGAAAATAAAACGTATAGAACAATGATATAGCTAGCTAGGTTTATTTCTTTTTCTTTCTTTTGTCTTTTCTCTATGATCTTTAGTTACATTTTATTTTACTGTGTGGCTTGCTTATTGTCAAGTCGATGAAGATCAAACTGTTTATATACTATATGTAAAGTTGAAAGTAGTGCAATAAACTAAGTTGTTCTGTTGGGTCAAAGAAAAGGACAAAAAAAGACTAAATTTGTCCGTTTTGTGAAATTTATATTTTTCAGGATTAAATTTGTAATCTAGCAAATTTTATTAGTGATGACATGGCGATATCACTGGTCAAATTCAACCCATGATTAATTATCTTGTAATGTTTATCTGGGTTTTAATAAGATATCAATAGCTAAAAAAATATGTCAAGTCGGACTTACGATCTTGATTATTATTTCGAAATGTGAACGGTATTATTTAGCGGAAAAATGGTGTTAATTCAGACTTCAGTGTTCGTTAAATCTTTGAATAATACGAGCATTAAAGACGATTAGGTTGGGGAGATTAAAGTCTACGACTATATTATATTTCTTGTGATTTAAAAAAAAATCATGTTCCCTATTGGTGAATCATCATTAAATATAGCATACATCACTCGCATATATATAATCGTGAAAAGAAATCTTTGAATATTTCGAAATGTTCCCTATTGTAATAGAATAGGACTACTCTTGGTATTTCTAGAATAGGAGTTTGTGATAACACACAACAATGGAATATGACTTAATATTAGAACTTAATAATCTTTAGTTATCTAGTATAACTAACCTTGTAAATAATGTGTCAATGTCACAATTTATATCAGTTATTGTAGTGTTGTTCTAATTAACAAGGAAAGGGAGACGTTTGGTTTAAAGATGATAAGCCAAATGAAAATAATTTTACATAAATTAGGAAAGAAGTAATTATGTGGCAACAAACAAATTCTAGACGATTTGTCATAAAGTTGCGCTGTTTTACCTAAAATCATTGCCATTTCACCTAATTATCTTTTGTTTTATTAAGTGAAAATTGAGGGGTGGAAGCACCATTGGTCCATTGGTTGACCAATGGTTAATTAATGCTTCTACACCCAGAGGTCTGGGGTTCGAGTCCCAGATAATGTGATTTATTAATAAATTTGCAGATTATTGGAAGCAAGTGTGCAGGAAATCTCCAGCGATGTACAATTATAGCCGTTCGCCAGGATTCTACGCAGAAAGAGAAGTGTCCATCAAAAGCATGAAGAAGGAGGTGAAGGAGGTGTCGTCTGTCGTGAATCTAATTGTCCGTTGTAGAATCGTCTATGTAACAGTTCTCATAATTTGCAATAAATAATAAATTTAGACGACAAAAAAAAAAAGTGAAAATTGAGGGAAAACAACTTGTCCCAGTATCGATTTAATCGACCGGCAAAACTCATGATCATAGATAAATCATTATAGCATTTACTTTTTCACATTCAAAAAAAAAAAAATCATTATAGCATTGTGTGTAACGTGTTTGTTACGCGATCTAAAGTACATAAAGGCAACGTCATTGACTTGGTCAATAACAGAATAGAGCTTAGTTTCGTAAGCCCATTTAAACTAATGGGCCTCTCCATTGTCCAATAATATTTGACTTCTACATGCGTAAGTTGGTCCTTTTTAATGTGGTCGCCTCTCGCCACCATCTCATGCAAAAGCTCCATTAAATAATTTTCGTTTCTTAGTAACTAGTTTTTGCTCTTTGCAAGTAAAAGAAATCAGCGTTTTTTAAAATCCAAAAAGAAAAAGTTGATGAAAAAGGAGATAAAGAATACTCGTTTTGTTGATTCTTGGCTTCCTTGTATTGAATTCAAGGAAGGTCCATAAGTATTTTGAACCTGATGTAGTTGTGAAACTCTTAGAGAGTCAAAGGGTTTGCAACATATCAGGTTTTAAAGTTCACGTCAGTGGCACGTGGTGTTGTTGTAGGTTTGTTATTACGAATGAAGGCTACGTTGTAATCGTCTTTTGCTTTGTAACTGAACTGTGAACTCGGTGGTGATTTATAACTTAAGCCGTAGTCATAGATCTCCTCGATGGAGTCCTTAATAATGTCTTTTGCACCATTATAAAGAAAAACAGTTTAGAAGTTACAAATATGATCCAACTTATTTTCAAAACAAAAAAGTTACAAAAAATGATGCACAGTCATCCAAATTCCAAACACATAATGTATCAAATTTCACATCAAAATTCAGGTGTGACCTAAGATAACATATGAAAAACGTAGATCAGTATATTAACTACTGATTGCTTTTGATAATAATTGTCATCAAACTGAACTCAAAATATGAATTAGATTGATAATAGCTTTTCAAGTACTATCAATTGAATGTTTATATAGAACGTAGATTAATTTATAGTTAGAAGTAAACTGAGTATACACAATGGACAATACTTCATTGAATTTGATATATCTCTCTTTCTTTTTTTTCTTGGATATCTCGGATAGTATGTGTACATATACTTTGCGCATGCTTTGAGCATTTTCTAAAAATTGAATAGTTTTTCGAGAGAGAAAAAAAAAAAAGAGAGTGTGAATAGAGGATTAAAAGGACAGAAGCATGTGAGATTTGAAGGCGGGCCTTTGGAAATCACATCAATCCCATGTATCAAAAGGAAAGGAACTATCATCTTCACTTTCAATCATTTTCTCAAACCCATCTCTCCATTGTTAGATAAGCCAAAGGTTTCTTTTCGCTGTCTTGGTCCATGTGTTTTGTTCATATTTGGTCCCTTTTTTTATTCTTCAACAAGGATATTTTGTTTCTTCTTAATTATAAAAATAGTTGCCTTGTCATTCCACTATATATCATGACCCCCTTTTCATATTTAATTCTTTTACCTTTAAGTTTAAGTAACGGGTTATTTCTCCACTTAGTTAAAAAAAATGTGTCCATGAATTTGAACTACATTAGAACGCTCGATAGAAGCCTCGAATGTAGTGGAAAAATAAGTGATTGTTATGAAAATTTAAATAAAGAAAAATCACAAACCACGGGCCTTTACTAAGCTTTTGAATGGGCCCTAGGGCTTTCCACGTCGGTCCATTAGTAAGAAAAAACAACAAACAAAAACAAAAGGAATTCCTACTTAATAATCATGTTAATTAGTGGGTGGGTCTTCTAAACGTTGCACATTTACGAAAGAGCCAATCGTCAACAAAAAATGCAAGATTGATCACCCAAATAAAACCATTTTGACTTGTTTTAAAAAATTAAATCTTATCATTGGTTTTAATGTCGATTGATTTGCCAATAATGGGCCTTCACCCGATTTCAACTTCAAGCTCTCCACGACAATTACATGCCACCTAATTGAAAAGATGGTCCGATTTTTTTGGCTTTGTACACTTTGAAAATCTTTAAGATTTAATTTCTCTAATTAGTTTTAATGTTTTATACACTTCACGTTTCACCGTCGAGAACAAAGGAGTTTGAAGTGTACTCAAATCTTACTCCCTCCGTTTTCGAATAGTTCTCGTTTTAACTATATACACACAAATTAAGAAACTATTAATGTTGTTAGTTTTTAAATATAAAAATATCATTAATTATTTACCTAAACATAATTTAACCAATAGTAAATCAAGTTGTATAATAAAAATAAATATAAAAAATAAAAAAGTAATAAATTTTGCATCGAAAACTGAAAACGACAACTAATTAAAAACAAAAAAAATTCTCTAAAACGACAACTATTCGAAAACAGAGGGAGTATTATTTACTTTACATTGCAAATGATTGGAAATTGTGAGATGAAACTTGCAGAAATGTGATTTTTATGAAACGTTGTAGAAATGTGATTTTTTTCTCAAGACATTTCGCAAAGTGGCCAGTAGCGAAATGTGATTGTGGAGAATGATTTCCATATATCGGATGTTTTTAACCTAGCCGACTCATTTATAGATTTGCACTTTTTTAAGACATATCCTCTATTACATAAAACTTTCATCTTTAAAAACTGAATACAGTTCAGAATTTATGGAGATTCACAATATGCTCTAGTTTAAAAAGTTGGAATAGAAATATATAAAACTCTTTTCGTTTCTGAAAATATTAATAATTAAAACTACAGTGGTCTTTTCCAACAAATTCGAGTGGCCACTTAGATGATGGCAAAAGCAGCCAATACATCATTTTTTAATCACAAAACCAAATCTTTTCCCATGGCCATAGATATACACTTATTTAATTAGTTGCTTCCGCCTCTTCTTTTGATTCCATAGACTTTAAAAATAAGTAGACAAAACCATTATTAACCTAGACGATAAGAAAACATGATTCGATCGATATGTGGGCCGTTTGTGGTATAACAGAAATTGCGTACATAGTTATACAAATATATATATATATATTTATATATATCGTGCTTTCATACACACGTAATATATATGATTATATCATAAATGGAATTAGATTCAAGAAGCCAAAAAAAGAAAAATGGAATTAGATTCAACTCTCTTCAAGATAATTATCTGAGTTATCCGGCTACGTATGTACTATCCGCATCCTCATATTCCCAACTGGTCGTGATTGCAGATATATAATATGATTCTAGAATCTATGTTGAAAATACATTATTATAGTTTTGGGTTGAAAAAGCATAAATGTAACGATTATTATTGAGGTTACTAATACTAATGTTACTTAATTAAGTGAAAAGGTATATATTATGTAACTATTTACAAATGTAAGCTTCGATCAGAGGTTCAATATTCAAATAAAAAAGAAGAGAGATGGCTACACACATGTATTGGAACTTGTATTCGAGTTTTAGTTTGATAAAACTAAGTAGTAAACTTTTAACAAAGAGACATCCGATACAAATTATTTCATACATAAGATCGTAAAATCGTCGATATATGAAAGTACATATGCTTCTTTCGTGTGAATGTGTTCCTAAACTCGACTTATGAAGCAAAAATATTCCACTATCATTCTCCAAATTAACCAAAAAAAAAAAGAAAAAAAGATCTAGTTTCGATCCTATAATTTAGATCGCAAATGTTATTTCGTGAAGCTGGCTCATTGAAGCTTTAGGAAATCCAAAAGCTAATATTGAAAATAAAATATTGTTTACATCACAAACAGAACTATACAATATATATGTCAAACCAACAGGCAATTTTATAAATACCTATAGATATAGATGGGCGGTAGCCGGTATGTGAGCTGTTGATATACACATCAATATTCATATACAAATATCCTCTAATAAATTCATCTTTAAAAATCAATCGATAAACCCAAACCAATCAAAACAAAATAAAATAAAATTAAAAGAGTAAAATCCTTGAAAAATCAAGCGTTAGGTGGAGAATACTCACAAACAACTTCCGTATCAACTTCCTTCCGGTGAAAATTCCGGTGACAACCACAAGCGGCGCATCTCAAAGCATCAACGGTTCCTTCAACTCCGGCGGCCATGAACTCACGGCAACCGTCGACGGCGTAACCTCCGATGTTAGCAGCGTGATTCTTCTGGCACTCCACGTAACGGACGTTACTGATCTCAGAGGAGGAGGAAGAAGAAGACGAAGTAGTAGTCCTAGAGGAAGATGTGTTGGAGTTTCTTGATCTCTGCTTGATTACCATCTGTCTCTTCTTCATCATGAACTGTGAAACCCTAGTCTTAGCCCTGGAATCGAAAATGGCTCTTTGGTCTTACGAAAGACTCTTTATGAAAACGAAGTGAAGACTAGAAGGTGTGGACTTGTAATTTGGTAATGCCCTTTGTGCCCCTTTTATATAATAGCTACATTAGGATTGTTGATAATCTAACCCTAGAGATGATTAAATTATTTATGTATACCTACGGTGTCGACAAAGTGGCTTAAAATATGGGCTACCTTGTACATAATTGATCTTTTCATAAATAGTGTTTCAAAATTATATTTACGTATACGACTAATTAAAACTGATTATTGAAACTGGATAAACTATCAAACCGGTTGAAATAATTGATTTAATGTACACTATTGTATATTCAGTCAAGATATAATTATTATGAAATAGTGAAATGTACAGTATAATTATTTAAAAAGATGGGGGATTTTGTCTCTCTGTCGATAAAACGATATTCATTCTCTTCCATTATTTCTCGTATTGTCATGTTCAAATGCGACATAAGGGTATAGAGATTTATTATTCTCTTCCATTATGGTCTTCGATCGTTCTCCGTCATAGAATACGAATGACATAGTGAAAGAATAAAAGATATGCGAGTGAAATAACAAATTTGTGTATTTTTCTTTTTTAAAAAGACTAATTATTTCTTTTTTATTTATCTGAACTAACATAATACGTTATCATGTTAACTTCCAATAATCATAGGCAGATGTATATTTTGAGATCAAAAAAGATAATCTCTGGACCCTGGAGTTAATTTAAACGAAAAAAAAAACTCCAAAGAAATGAAGAAAATCAGTAGCCAGCCTTATTTTACCGTCGAGATCATGTGCATTGCATTATACGAATAATTAATAATTAGTTTATATAGAATATAATAAATAAAAGTTTGTGGAAAAATGAAATAAAAAAATAAAACTTATTTGAGTAAATAAATTAAATGCGAATCCGACTCAGTCCAACGGACCTGCTCCCACAAGCAAGAGACAATGACAGGTTAATATTGGAATGCAATCGCATTTCTAATCACTTTTTTTTTTTATATATATATTCCAAACTTCATATAATACACTTAATATAGTTGTGATTTTTTTTTATCGAACACGCGCTCTTGAACTCATACGATAATACTACACTAACCATTGTGTTAGAGATTTAGAATTTGACATGACGTCCTAACGATAAATAAATAAAAATACTTTCTATGTACAAATAATTTCTAAAAGACTTTTTCTCTTCTAAAGTCGTAAATCATAACAGATTTATTATACACAATAGTACACAATAATTTAATTATTGATTATGTTTCTTTCACTTCGATAACTCTTATGATCCTAATTATCTCTCGTGTGACAGCTTGAATTTTGCAAAAATATATATAAAACGACTATTCAATCAAAAATGAACAAAACTAGTAGCTTCGATTTTGTAAGGCAAATAAACGAAGACAACAATTGCAAAGAAAATGATATGATTTTGATGACATTTTCAAAAGAAAAAAAGCAAATGAACGTGACAGGATTATGTTTTGTAATTGGATTTTAATACTGAATAATTAGTCAAATTGACTTCTTTACACGTGACGTGACCAACAAAACATGGGTCCCACTTGACACACAAAAGTCCCTGTGAACATCCTTTTATTATTCTTCTCGCTATAGTAATAAGTTTCGAATTGTAACTAATTTATAATTTTGTGTGTAACCAAAAACAATTAAAAACTAATTGCATGCATATATAGAGTCGGAGTATGTACCCTATTTAGGTCAAAATATGCACAGTATATAACCATGTAGATTATTTTTGTCATATTTTCTGTATGATACATAATTGCAGCAAAAACAGGTCAAAGGTTTTTCTCTGACCACGATAAGCTTTTCTTCTTCTAAGCTTGTAAATATCATATAAAATAAAAGTTTAGGAATTACAAAGTGTATTACCTAAGGGAAGAATGTGTAATGCGTTTGGTGCTAGCTAGACAAATAATGTGATCAAAATATTAAATACTTTATACTGATTAGAAATGTACGCAAATTTTTTTAGATGCCATATGCAATGTGGTACTCCCTCTGTTTCATATTAAAGGATGTTTTAGACATTTTATTTTGTTTCACAATATAAGATGTTTAGGAAAAACAGTTCAAGTTTCTATGCAAAAAATTAAATTTGTATAATTTGTGACTATTTAGATTCTGCAGTAAAGCATATCATTGGCCAAATTATCTTCAACTATTTATTAAATTATGTTTTAATGTAAAATATCTAAAAACTAAAATAATTAATTAGTTTCTTAAACTTTATGTTTTTAGGTAAAACATCCTATATTTTGAAACAGAGGGAGTATTATTTTATTTAACTGTAGAAGAAACGAGAAAATACCGTTTACGCAAATGTCATAATTGCCGATGTTAATAAAAAACATAATTAAGGTATTAAAGCCGAGAATCACGCAAGAATGTCACGAAGTTGATTGTTGAATGAATTAAAAAAGTAAGTGAGTTCCTAATCAAATCTTTGACGACGACTTTGATTTTATTTCTTTGCTATCTCGGTTATTAGTTATTACGCGGAACCAGAAATATTTTTTACCGGGGTCAAAAAAATATACTAAATAAATTAATCTATGAAATGCCAAAAAAATCTACAAATGCATGTATTCTACGTTTACTCATAAATGACGAGATGCGATAGTTAAAATTTAGAGTTTCATACCACAAGTATAAAAGGCAAAACAAAATTTATTTTGGGTCAGCGAAACAATAACTAAAATTTTAGATTTTGCGACAAAAAAATAAACTTTTTTTTGTTTGTTTTGTTTATTTGGTATAAAAGTAATTAATTTGAATGAATTTGTTTATTAACCCATATAAATCATAAAGATTGCACTAACGTTTTGGGTTTTGTAGTTTAATGTGAGTCTAATTTCTATAGATATTGGATCTTTGCATCTCTTATATTTAAATTAGTTGGGTCAATGGGGTCAAACAAAATTTTTAATTGGGGTCATGAGGATTAATGTTTTAAAAATAGGGATTATTGTTTAAAATGCCCTTTTTTGGGAAAAACTTACGAAAATGCCCTTTTTTGAATAGTTTACGGATTTTGCCCTTTTTTAACACTTAAAAATGTACGTATTTAGGATTTTTTTTTCCAAAAATACTTACTTTATACCAAATACTAAACCCTAAGAACAAATGGAACCGACTAAACCCAAACATAACGAGTGAAACGCATGTTAAATCATATTTTTGGAGCATGAAAAAGGGCAAAATGCATAAACTATTCAAAAAAGGGCAAAATCCACAAATGCCCTTATGAAAAAGGACAAAATCCGTAATTTATTCTTAAAAATATAGTATAATTTTGAAAATTAGTAGGTGATGTGCCTTTAGTCAAGTGGTTAAGTCCATCTGACTCCGCTTTCCCCACCGGAGTTCGATTCCACTAAGTCGCGTTTCCCCGCGTAGTAGGGATTAGCTATGGATGGGGCTTTGTCGATCTAAAGATATCAAAAAAAAAAAAGCTGACCCCTATTAATCAAGTGCCTCCACCCCTGCCGCATTAGTCAAGATCATACTGTAGAGTTAATTTCATTATTAACAATTATAAAATTAACCTTAAAGACAAAGTGTAATTAGGTCTGCTTTTATATATTTTAAACGGACTAACATATATGAAATTAAGAATCAAGAGAGAGAGGAAGATGAGAGAATATGAAAGGAATCTATGTTTCTCACCAACCGTGCCCCACTCGTGAAGTTTAGAATCATATAATTAAACCCCTTAAAAATCGACTTATTTGTGATTTATATACATATTAGTCAAAATGTTGTCTTTTCGACATAAATGTTGATCAATATCAGAGTGAGACGAGTAAATTGTTTATAATCTCATGTTAGATAATACATAATAGATATATAGATATTATGATACACATATATTTATTAAAAACGACCCATACATGAAAGGGCACACAATGATTATTAAACAATTGACTACGATTATTTAAAAAGACTAACTAATATTTGGGAAACTAAACATCAAATCTACTTTTTTCAGTGTCTCTCTGTCTGTCACTTGTTGAAATAAAAATGAAAATCTCAAAATTAACCAAACATTAAACTTCATTAATTTGATTATGTCACTCTTTGTCTGTGTTTCCATGTCCTTTCACCGTTTGGTTGATATGGGCTAATCTTAAAATAGATATTGGGCTTTAATGTCCTCTCTTTCTGATTATTTCGGCCTTCTTCCACAGAATTATATCAATAAAATTCTTCGGATCACTTCGGCTTGGGCCTTGTTCATTCATTAACATCCCATCTAGTGATATCTTTTTGGTAAAGGGTTTACCATTTATCAAGTAAGATTTCTTAAAAATAATCTTTTATTTTTAACCAAACATAGTCGACAATCATATATAGTAAAACAAATATTCGGAAATAACTCTAAAAATCATAATGATAAAAAATCAAAATTATTTTAATCCATTTAAATTGTCATGAAAATAAGGAATCAATTTATGGAAAAAATAACTAGTTGTAGGAGATATGAAGCTTAAAACTTATGACAATTTGGGGTGAGATAAGTAATACAATTAGGCCTGGGCAAAAAAACCGTATCCGAGTACCCGAACCGAAATCGACCCGAAAAAACCGGTTCGGGGCGGGTACGGGTATTAGCTATTTACCCTATTGGGTCTTGTATTGCCGTACCCGTGGGTATAGGGTAAAACCCGATCCGAACCCGATACCCGAACGGGTACCCGATTACCCGAAATTACATATACTTATACATATAAAACTTTTTATATATGTAATATTTGAGCTAAATACATTTTTATCTAAATATCCGAGAATAGTTACCAAAAATTAAATGCACTTATATTTAAATATTTAAGATAAAATATATTTATACGCGAGATGCTTGTAAAATTTTTAAATATTTGGAAAAAATTCCGGTTATTCGGATAAATTTTCGGGTGAAACTCGGATATTAGAGTAAAATTGCGGATAAAATTCGGATATTAGGATAAAATTTCGGATAAAATTCGGGTATTTGGTAAAATTTTGGGTATTTGGGTATAAAATACCCGAACCCGATGGGTACCCGATTTTTTTGGGTATTTAGCAGTTCTAAAAATCTAAACCCGAACCGACCCGAACCCGATTAGATCCGAACCGAAACCGAACCGATATTTTAGATTTACCCTATTGGGTCCTAAACTCCTCTACCCGAAAGACCCGAACCCGATCGGGTTTTACCCGAACCCGACCCGCATACCCGAATGCCCAGCCCTAAATACAATGAACAAAACTAACGTGGTTAGTATAAAATCAACGTTGGAACAATAATACAAAACGAAATAAAACTTACAGATTTCAGCATCTCTTACTAATAAAAGAAGCTCATTGAAGCTTCTCGAGCCATCTACATCAGCTTCTCAACATTTTCTAACAAATTGCCACGTCATATTACTCTTTTTCTATATCTAAATTCGTCCCTAATACAGCCACGTCATTAACCTTTATACTTCTCTCGACATACAACTTAGCCAACGAAATTAGGGTTTTCAACTGGAGATGATAACATACAAGAAAGTTCAACCGTTTCCGCTTCCTACCACTCATCTCATAAATGACACATCTCTCCAAATCTCCCCTAAGTACATCACCTAAGGTTTTTCCCCAACCTTTTTCATGAACAGAGGTCCTTCCATTTGGTTTTACTTATTAACAGAGCAGACTTTAGGTACGCTCCTCAAGCATTCTTCTCATTTCCTATGGCTTCTGCAGGTAACGTAGTTATGGTCTTTCATATTTAGTGTCATTATCTCCACTTCAGTTCTAAAATCTGCAAAGCCTTCTTTGCTAGAGAAATCCGGCAAACCATATATAGGTACGATACCACCTTCTTTCTACGTATTCTCTTCAAGTTATGTGTTTTTGAAATTGGGGCATGCATTCATTTTTTATTCTCACCGACATGCACCACTCTTATTTAATTTATTGGTTTTGTCTTATGTGTGGTTATGAAAAATCATCGAGTAGGATGATAAACAACATCATCATGCTGACCAAATGAAAAGAAGAGGTGATCATGTGAACATATGAATCAGAAAGGTTAGTGAATCCAGAAGTAAGGGAGAAACAGGAACGAGAGAAGAGACTCTCAATGATATTCCACAGGTTTCTATTGAGTTTAACATTCAGGATTTGTTTAATAAGTTATAAGTACGATGTTTTTTTAGTTGATACATAACCATGGTCCTTCATGTATTCATTGGGGATAAAAAAATTTCAGTCAAACAAACCCCTTTAACTCATTAAATTGAGATCTTCTCTTAGTTTTCTTTATCCAACTGACGCCTTACTTCCATTTCAGTTGAATAATATATGTGGATCGGTGGATCATGTACGGTGACAAAACCAAGGTAACAGTATTGAAATACTTTTGAGTTTGGAGGCACATACACTATTCCACATTTATCACCTATTTTATGTACGATCTTTAGGTGATTGGTAGCTAGAATGATGTACTTTCTGCTAGAGAGGACACTTGCAACCACATGTTCTTCTCTACCAAACGTTAAATCAAAAAGAGAAAAAAAAAACAGAGCAAGTGGAGATCTGTTGCTGACTGTTTAGGAGATCTCCCAAGTACACTACAAAGGAATTAGAGCGAAAATCAGAGAGGAAGAAATGTGATTTACACATCATGGTTCTAAGAAGTAAGATTAAGTGATAACATACAATATATGGTGATACATCAGCTAAATGATAACATACAATATATGTCGTCAAATATTAAATTGTTAGTCACATGAATGAATAGTTTCTAAATTTAAAACAACTGAAACCAAACTATTAAGTCAAAGAGAACAGTTTATTATTTATCTATTTTAAAATTTAATGAACATATAAAATTGCTTTTTTATTTTACAAAAATCACAAGCAATTTCATAATATTATCTTTTATATCAAAATAATAAATCCATAAGTAATATATCTGGGCGTAGCCCGGGATAATCCACACTAGTTCTTTTAAAAGTGCTTATAGATTGATATATTTTCTACTTTTTTCGGTGTGCGAGTCTTTGTTTTTCTTTCAGTGAAAGAGAAAGAGGTTTATCTCATGAGCGGTGGAGAAAGGTGAAGTAATAAATGAAGAGGAATAGAGGATACATCAAATTCAAGTGGACACATACTTGAAGTTGTCTGATCCACTTCAACTTTCAATTTGTCCGTGTAGTAACAAGATGCCGTATCTATTAAAACGTTAAACACAAACAACTTTAGAACTTAAATGCTAGTATTTTATTGGACAACCAAATAACAAAATGAAAGAAAAAACTAGTATCTTGTTACTAGTTTGACCAAAAATTATTTAGAGATGAATTGTTTGCATGTGGGTTTATATATATTACGGCTTCAAATCTACAACCATAAAACTTACGTTTCATTTATTCCTCAGAATCGCGGTTATTTCAACTTACATAACGATAACATCTAACTCTATATGCATAGAGCTTAAAAAGACTTTGTTATAGATACAATAATTATATAAAAAAATGTAAAGATGAAAAAAGGTCGTTATGTTTGTTGAAAGCATTAGATAGATATGTCTCCCATGTGAGTGTGCACATGGAGTTATGCATGCACGAAAACTGCCTCTACCCTTTTGTCTCTCTCCCGATTCTTCAATCAATTCCCCACCTTAAGTTTGCATGATCTCTATATCCACCTCCGAGATCTAGACACGTTGCTCCTCCTCTACATCGAACGGCTCTCTTTGATCATCTTACTAAGAGATAAGAGGCATAAATCCATGCCGAGATTGCTCTTATCGGTCCCTTTATCTGTTGGTTGGTCCCAATCACTTGCAATGGATATGTAACTGTTCTTCCATGTTACTCACTCTCTTTTACCATTATACCCTTCATTTTCTTCAATTTGGGTAGCCCCAACTCCCAAATTGCGACTCTTTTGGCCTAATTGTATCAACTTGTTCACTTTTTCTTATGCTAAATTTTTTTTTTTTTTGTATTTTGATACCGAATCTCGACACTCTCTATCAGTATATTATTGGAACGGTCATTAATTTTTACCACCAAAGACAAAGAGATGTGAGTTTTACGATTCATAGTTTTTTTAATCTGAACAGAAAACACATGTAAATATATTTTGCATGTAGTCTTTTAATCACTGAAGTTAACTCGAACTTAACGTTAGATATATATTTTTTTCTCAAAAAATCTTCAAATTCAACCGATAAGTTGGTCGATGATAGGTAGCTCTGTATTAGTATAGTTGAAAACTTGAAACTACTCTTTAGTACGTATGTAGACTATATATGGGTCCAATTGCGTTTTTTTCTTACTTTTGAGTTTGTGTTTTGTTTGATTTTACGTTTTAACATGTAAATAAGATTTTTTTAACAAAAAAAAAAAAATGTAAATCAAGTGGCAGGATGAGATATATAAAGCAGTATTATATATGGACCGTTATTAACTTATTATACATGTGAATGAGAAAGCTTACACACACCTTCTATAAATAGCTGACAAAACAGGTTATTACACACAACACATTCATAAATTTCTCAAACTAAGAACTAAGAGCTCCACTATACCTACACATCTTCTCTCTCCCTCAAAAGCCAGTCATGGCCAAATTCATACCTTTTCTTCTCTTAGCCACAATTTTCTTCTCTTTCATTTGTCTCACTATGTCAAAAGAAGCTGAGTACCAGCCAGAAAGTGTAAGTTTTATATAATCTCCATTTTAATTCCTTTTCCCTTTCCCTTTCTATTGATTGCTATAAATCTAATACCCATGTTAAAATTTTGTTTTGAAAACAGTATGGACCCGGAAGTCTGAAATCATACCGTAAGTAAAACTTCTTCTTCATTTATGAATTCTCATTTCTTATTCCTTATCAAATTAAAACTCGATTATGACGATTGCAGAATGTGGAGGACAATGCACGAGGAGGTGTGGTAACACAAAGTATCATAAGCCATGCATGTTCTTCTGCCAAAAGTGTTGTGCTAAATGCCTTTGTGTCCCTCCAGGCACGTACGGCAATAAACAAGTGTGTCCTTGTTACAACAACTGGAAGACTCAACAAGGTGGACCAAAATGTCCATAAGCAAAAACATTAAAAGAGAGGAACCCCAATCTACTATTGAATATTTTCTTTAATTAATTAACTATAGTATGTTTCTGTTGTTGTGATGATGATTAAATTTTAATGTTATTGTCTGTGTTATTTACCATCAATATTCAGTATCATACGTTTCCTATAACATACACGGAATGTGAATGGACCTTTTATATCAAAAAATATATGAAATTTTAGTAATTTACAAAAAAAGAGTTGTAAAGGATATTTTTAGAAACATCTGAAATACAAAAAAAAAATGTCCGCCGGGAAAAGAAAAAGTCTTTACCATTTACCAATTGTCCCGAACAGAGGAGACTATGGTGGACTCGGAAAAAAAATACAAAAAAAATCATTCGCTTCAATATCAGCAAAAGAAAAAGAAAAAAAGTCATCGCTTTGGGTGTGAAGATCAAAGACCACATCTTGTAACTCGAAGTCCTCTGATTTCTACAAGTTGTCTGATAGTATCAGCCAAGAAGAAGAAGACATACATCAAACTCTCTGTTCTCCTGCCATGGCGTAGTAAAACCTCCGGAAACCCTAATCCCTCAGGTAATAACTATTTACCTCACTGATTCTTCATCGGTGATGGTCGAAAGCTGGAACCTTTTTCTGCAAATCGATAAAGAAAATCAAACCAACCCAACCCAACCCTACCCACTTTGGTTTTGTTTGGATGATTGAGGTTCGAACAAAAAAAATGTCGGAAAAGAGTTTGCTTTCTTCAAAATTTCTCTTTTACACGATAACTGTTTCAATGCTACTCTTCATTGTCTCTTCTCTCTTCTTCCTCCAACGCAACGAATCCTCTTTCACTTCAAGTTTAGTTCGCAAGCTGATTCTTCCAAGAACAGACATCAAGAACGACGAATTCGGAAAAATCGATACTTTATGCGATCGAAACCGAGATGTGTTGAAGGTGTTTATGTACAATCTGCCCTCTGAATTTCACTTTGGGATATTGAATTGGCACAAAACAGGATCTGAGATTTGGCCAAATGTCAACAACATTAGTACAATCCCATCTTATCCTGGTGGGTTAAATCGGCAACACAGTGTAGAGTATTGGCTAACACTTGATCTTTTAGCTTCAGAGACACCTGAAATCAAGAGACCTTGTAGTAGTGCAGCAATTAGAGTGAAGAACTCTAATGAAGCTGACATAGTTTTCGTGCCTTTCTTTGCTTCGTTGAGTTACAATCGCAAATCTAAGCTCCGTGGGAACGAAACCATCAGTGGTGATAGATTGTTGCAGGAAAGATTAGTTGAGTTCTTGAAAAGTCAAGATGAGTGGAAAAGATTTGATGGGAAAGATCATCTGATAATAGCTCATCATCCAAACAGTTTGCTCTATGCAAAAAACTTTCTTGGATCCGCAATGTTTGTTCTTTCGGATTTCGGAAGGTATTCATCCGCGAACGCCAATCTTGAGAAAGATATCATTGCGCCTTACTTGCACGTCGTTAAGACTATCTCTAACAATGAGTCAGCACCGTTTGAGAAGCGTCCTGTATTGGCATATTTCCAAGGAGCAATCTATAGAAAAGATGTAAGTGACTTTGAGTTTTTCTCTCTATTTTATCAATCCTGTTTACTGATTCTAATCTCAGCCATCAAATTTGTTTGTCGTAGGGTGGAACTATTCGTCAAGAACTGTATAACCTTCTTAGAGATGAGAAAGACGTTCACTTTGCATTTGGAACTGTTAGAAGGAATGGGACTAAACAAACTGGTAAAGGAATGGCTTCCTCGAAGTTTTGTCTCAATATCGCGGGTGACACTCCTTCATCTAACCGTCTTTTCGATGCCATTGTTAGCCATTGTGTTCCGGTTATAATCAGTGATCAGATTGAGCTTCCATTTGAAGATTCTCTAGATTATTCGGGTTTCTCCGTGTTTGTGCATGCTTCTGAAGCTGTAAAGAAAGGGTTTTTGGTGAATCTTCTCAGAGGGATAACAGAGGATCAGTGGAAGAAGAAGTGGGGGAGATTGAAAGAGGTTGCTGGGTGTTTCGAGTATCGCTTTCCTTCGCACCCGGGAGATTCTGTGAATATGATTTGGTCAGCGGTTTCACATAAGCTTTCTTCACTTCAGTTTGATGTCCATAGAAAGAATCGGTACCGTAGATCTGAAATGTTTGATAGAAACCGATCGAGTTAAGATCATATATGTGAAAGAAAGATACCACTTGAAGAATAAACATTCTCTTTATGCTTCATGTATTTTTCGTTTTCTTCAGTTGAAGATCATAGACCAGAATTCAGACCCAAAACAGAGAAGTAAGCTTGTAGTTTTGTCTGTAAGCTTAAACTTAGAAGAGGATTAAGAAGTACGAGCATATAAATGATGGAGACCATTCTAATATAATCGCAGATTCATATAAACATAAAAAGTTTAAATCTTCAAAAGTAATCAAAATGTAACGATACGATACACACTCACAATTGTAGAAACTTAGCCTGCCAACGATAACACTTGGCCAACATATAACACACAAAACACAATCACAGACACATAATCTAGCTTTTAAATAGATAAGATGGTCGCATTCTTCATGTTTGGTATTGTCGCTACTATAGAATCAAGAACGATAAAGGCTTCAACTTTCTGCAGGAATTAATCACCTCTTCCGCTCTGTCGGGGTTGTCTTGGCTGCAAAGCCAACAACACAGTTGAGAGCAGTTAGATGCAAGAGAATGTGTAATTTCTGTAGTGATTTTCAGTAAGATAATCAAAGAAAGCACTTTGAGAGATTTGGAGAATGTAGTTTGATCTCATTAACTCATTAAGCATGTATTGGTTTTTGGCACTAACCGTTTCCTTCTTGGGAAGACAGAAGAGGTTTCTCCTTCTTATTCCTGGTTTTGTCACCTGAGTTTGCGAGTCTCGTTGTTCTTGGAGATTGAGAGGTGATCCTGCCAATGCCATTACCTGGAGATGGTAGAGAGTGACGTCTGGGAACACTGGCTTTCTCAGTCCCATCTGGCTCAGCAGACTTTGGGGAGCCTTGCATCCTCAGCTTTGCTTTCGCCGATTTAGTTGCTTGCATATAGCTTGGGATTGATGGGCTAGTCTGATGATGCCCATTACTCTCTTCACGCTCGGTCTTGCTAATAGCTGAACCCTTTTTCCTGAGTTTCTGGTTCTCCTTCCCAGCGGAATTCTCTTTATTGTTTGGTTTGGGAGTCTTTTCTTCTTTGGTATCCTTTTCCATTGAGGGTTTTTCCTCAACCATTGCTTTTTCGTTGCTGTCAATATGGTTTACCAGTGAGGAGTCAAGTGCTTCATTGGTTTCTAATGGTCCAGGAGTATGTACTTCCATCTCAAGAACATGTACCTCCTCCTCAGGCTGTTCAGGCATTTCTTGCTTTTTCTTTTCGTCACAAACATTCACAGGTTCTTCTGCAGTTTCATGAACCATCGGATATGATGATTCCATTGTCTTTTCTACGCCAAGCTTTGGCTTCTCGACTTCCTTACGAGGGGATCGTTGCGGTTGGATAGAGCTCTCAACTACAGGATTATGTACCTTCCTCAAGCTACGTTTAACTTTTTCAAGTTCAATCTGAGGATCTTCGACAGCAGGTGGCTCTATTGACTGGCTTGAAACTTTCCGGAAACTGCGTTTGGGTTTCTCAAACTCAAAAGAGGTCTGTACTGAGGAACTTTCAAAGTTTGCAGCAGGAACTTTACGGACACTCTTCTTGGGTTTAGCAGATTCAGCCTCGACTAAAAGCTTGTTCTGAGGTTTTCTGCTTATCGTTTTCTTCGGTTGAGGAACTGGTTTCCAGAAGCATGAGGCTGACCAGTTCTCTAACCAAATCAAGTTTGAGTCTGGATCGGATGAATCATAGGCGTGTACAGGTAGCACTTTTGGTGATGAAGCGAGAAGCTGTAAACAAAATTATCCATCAAGATCTTTAATATAAAAGATAAATTGGATACAAATGAACTTTGGCTCCTTTTTTGTTTCTCCTAATTTCATTATAATAAATAGCTCTATCAACAAGCGTACCTTCAGAGCAAAAGCATTGGCTGTTAGCTTCTTGATTCCAAGGTAAGCATCTGTAGGATTTGCAAGCTTGCTCCCCTGATAAACAAAAAAGCCAGTTCTAATTTGACAAGAAAATAAACAATTATTTCCCCACCAATCCCAACTATAATATCTTCCTGGACTAAGTGTGTATTTAAGAGCAACCAGTCACACTTAACAACGGAACTTGAGCTCACTAAGAAATGAAAGTATCATTACCTGAAGCAGCTGCAATCTGCATTTCCTATAAACTTGAACTCCAATGTCAGACTTCCTGATCTCTCTTCCTCGAGCAAATGCTTGCAACCTGACAATTCCCATGACAGAGAAAAGAGTTGCAACAGCTTGTCTCCTAACCAGGTGACCACGGATAAGTGCTTGTAGCCTTATTATGCCTTTGAGTGCCCAAAAAGCACGCCGAGCCTTCACACAATGAGCTCATGTTAGGATATACAAAAAGAAAACATACAAAAAGCTGCAATCAAAAAAGCCAAGCCTAAAATCCAAACAGCTGAAAATATTACCAAGTAACCTCTAAACGCAGCCTGCACAGACGTTGCTGCAATATCTTGTTGGATTCTCTCTGCATCACATACTGAATTATCTTGAACAGGTGCAACATTCTGAGAATCTGTTGGTTTTCCCTCAGGAAGCTCAATTTCATCATCTGAGATCTCTTCAGGCTCTACATTTTGCGTCTCTAACATACCACTGCTTCTATCGACGGTATTGGTCTCTGCAACTGCGAAAGATGGAAGATCTGATACCACATCTGATTCTTCTACCTTTGAAGTAACCAGTACCTCATTTCCACTCACAACTCTCTGCGCATGAAAACAATAATTAGAACAAAAACCAAAAAAAAAAAAAAAACAGACAATCTTAAGCAAATTAATAGCCGCCTAAAACCATCACTGTTTTCTCAATTTTGATCCAAATTCTCCACATATTTTATCATCACATACATATTATAGAAAACTCTTTCGAAAGCGTTTACCTCTTTTCCTTTGGAACCACTAGATTTAGAAGTTTTTTTTCCAAGCAATACATTCTTCAACCACTTTGTAGACTTCCCCATAATGTATGGAAATAAAACACACCTGCATTGCCCAAAAACAACACAACACAATCCAATATTAGTATGTGAATATAGCTACTACTAGTCTATTACCAATTAGTCAAAATGAAGAAGTCTTTTAGTTCATTAATTAGTTATGGCAAAAAAAAAAAGAGAGTAACATTATTTTGTTCTAATCAACTCTAATAATAAGCTTGAAAAGATAAACCGAATCAAGTAATCATTAATCAAGATAGAACATAGAAAAACAATGATTACCATATATAAATTAACAAATTTTGGAATACTGAATATAACTTAGAAAGTGAAATGACCAGATCTGGGACTCACACTGAAAAAGAAGAACCCTAAGTACTCAAAATCCACTTTCCAAATGAACAACAACAACAAACAAACAAAAAACACCGACAGAGTCAAACAACACATCCTAAACAGAGAGATCCTTCTAAAACCCAACACTACTCGAACAATGTCCTAAAAAAAAAGATCGGTTTCAAGAGTAACCGTCGGATCTCTGTTCTAAATCCGAGTCCGATTCAGACCAGATAAAAACAAAGAAGGAGATGATAATATACCGTAAATGAGAAATTTAGAGTTTGTTAGTTCAATGCTTCCATTAGCGTCTCTCTCTCTCTTCCTCGGAGCTATGATGCTCTCTAAAGAACTGTTTCTCTTCGGTGGTGGTTTCAGACTTTCAGTGACCAGACGGAAAGAGAAAACAAATACATATATAATTTTTTGTGCAAAATATATTTCTAATTTTAACTAAAAAGTAAGCGAGCATCTCCATAACTCCAATCTTACGCCGTTGATTTTTAGCCGTTGGATCATCTCCGAAATTTAGTTAAACTTTTCTTTTTTGACAACTAAATTTACTTTTTAAGAAAAATTCAGAAACAGTTCAAGAGCAATCTATAAAGAAAAAAGCTGGAAAACATTAAATGCGATAAATTAGAAAAAAAGATAATTAATTAGTGTAGGTATTTGTGAATGTCAGTCGTCTAAATTAAAAAATAGTAAAACATTACAGATATTTAATTGAAATTGCTCAGATTTTGTAATAGTCGTCGAGAGATAACTTCGAAAACAAGTGTAAGAATGCCGCTACGTTCTAATGAAGCATTCTTGTAATTTGACATTCATACCCTAAGACCATCAGCAGTGGTAAATGTATTTGTGTGCAGTGGCGGACCCAGAAAATATTTTTACCGGGGTAAAAATATTAGCAATTACCAAAGTAAAATTAGTTATTTATTAAAAAGGGGGAAAAATGAATAAAAATGGGAGTTAGATGAAGTTGAACTCAGATTAAGGGGGTCAATACTATAAACTTTAACCAAATTAGCCAAATAATCCTATTGATTTAAGCTTAAAAATTTTAATTATATAATTTAAGGTGGTGCAATTGACACTCCTACTCACGTGGGTCCGCCGGTGTTTGTGTGGGTGTAAATACTTTTTTAGTATTATAATTTAAAGCAAGAGAAAAAGAAATAAAGAGAGAGATAGAGAGAAAAAGTGTTATACCCGAGTGTAAACTTACACCCAGGTGTGAAGAGAGAGACAATTTTTTCGTTTTTTATTACTTATACCCCAAGACTCACACCCACTTACTTGTCCCACTGCCCATGCTCTTACATTGTCCTTGAACAGGAAAGACCCACTTTTGCGCCAGTGAGGCACGTGGGAATTTTATTAACCAGTGATTCCCGCTCCAGTGAAGTCTCGTTAACCGTTATGGGCCTAAACCCAATTCAAAAAAAAAAACATATAATTTGATCGTGAAGAAAAAGGCTTGTGATTGCGAGACGTTTCATCGAACACTTGGTGCTCAGTTTTTGACGAGAGGTTCAAAGTCAGTAGAACGAACACGCGGCCAAAATTCGATAAACCCAAAAGGAAACAGTGAGATGGAGAAGAAGAAAGCAATGCAAATCGAAGGTTATCCGATCGAGGGATTGTCGATTGGTGGGCACGAGACGTGCATCATATTTCCATCTCTTCGGATAGCTTTCGACATTGGTCGTTGCCCACATCGCGCAATTTCTCAGGACTTCCTCTTTATCTCTCACTCTCACATGGATCACATCGTAAGAATCATTTTCTTAAATCTTCCGTTAAAAGACTTGAACTTTCCGATTAGGTTTTGCAAAGATTGTTC